AAAGATGTTGTATTGTAATTAACTATTTGTTCTCTATTTCTTTTCTAATAACAAAAACCCATAATGCTTTCCTCATTCGAATTAAACATATCCAAGGTCCTAGGAAAGTTTACAGCCAGCAGAAAACCATCCACAGGGGTCACACAAGCAAGGAGTTCTGGTGTCACTAGCAATCATCTTTGTGGCCTCATCATCACAGACTTCAGTCACAAGTGGAAGCCTGAGATATAAACTACGTCATGACATAGCATGTGCTATGTTGCATAAGCAGACAAAGTTGGTAGGATGATCTAAAAATGAAAGAACCTTTGTCACCTGGAGGACTCAGGGAAAGTGGGCTCATGAGAATGCTTTTCAGTTCATTTCTTCATTGTTTCTAGAATTAGAAAACTTTGTCTTTGTATGTAGGCTTTAATAGCTGGGGGTGGGGGTAAGGGCAAGAATGAGACTCACGGATGGATGTTCATGAGTCAGGTTTTAGGCAGGAGGAGAGAAAAAAAGGCATGGAGCAGTCTCAGAGGAAAGGAGATGGGCATTTCTGTGTCACTGGCTGTGCTGGTTTGCCATCTAGTGCCGTGATAAAAACACTGACCAAACCCAGCTTGGAGTAGAAAGTCTTTATTACATCTTACAGGTGAATCCTGTCAGTCCATCATCAAGTGAAATCAGGGCAGCAGCTGGGACAGCAGCCTGGAAACAGGAAGTGACGCAGAAACCACAACCGCTTACTGACTGTTCTCTATGCCTTGCTTGGACCCAGGACCACTCAGGAATGGCTCAGAGGCCATCCTGAAGGAGGCCTCCATTGAGGGAATCCCCACCTCCTCAGATGACTCAAGTTTGTGTCCAGTTGACAAAAGCTAAGTAGCACTGAGGAATGGTGTTTGCTGTAGCAAGGTTGTGACATTGCAAAGAGAAGAAAACAGGGTAGAAGGTCAGGGAGGATTTTTGTAAGCATCATTTGTGAACACTTTCCTTGAGTACATCGATATGAAGGATGCCTGGGTCCAAGGAGTGGGGACTTGAGTAGAGAAAAGAATCACCATAGGAAATGTCACCACCCTTGTCAAACCTACTGTCCCCTCATTGGCTGGCAATCAGAACTATGGCTGTTCCTCTGTCCGCCAGTCTGTCTGTTCTCACAAACTGCCTTAATGTCAGAACATCTCTGATGCCCCCTTTTAATCTCTCCTACAAGCGACAACAGGCAGATGGCAGCATGGCCTTTTATGGTCGCCCTGTACAGCCTTTGATTTTTTTTTCCTAATTTATCTGCTCCTTTATATATTCTCACTTTCACAAGTCGCTAAGTTTAAATGTTTAAACATTTCCCCTTCCAGTAGCCAAAAAGAACACAGAACGGCAGCTAACACAGTCGTAAATTTATCCATAGCCACGGGAGATAAGCTTCCGTGCAGTATAGCCATAGCGGACGGCTCCCAGGCTTGGGAAAAATGCAGTGACGTTTCATAAGTAAGAGAATTTTAAAACACTCTCAGCAGTAAATAAGGATAAAATACAACTGGTACCCAGCAGCAAACAGCCAGCAACAGAGCTCCTTATCCCAGAACACTGTGAACTAAAATAACAACAGGAGTTAGCAAATCCGTGTCAGTGTCACATCGCACCCGGGTGGGCGGCTGAGAATTCACTGTGGGGAGGTTTTCACCCTCCTGATGTGTTGCCACTTACATCTCCTGGCACCTCTTGATTTGCTGAAGATCTTTGATAGTCACCAAGGAAATGCAGAGATACTGATGCCACAAATAAGAGGGTTTTCAGCCAATTTGAAGGTGTCAGAGAGGACCTTAGAAAAGGAAAGTAGGGTACAGAGGGCTGCTCCCACAGCCTGGGGAGCAAGGGCATTCCGCAGTGCTGGGGAGGAGTGCTTGATTTACAGCTGATGCCCAAAGAAAGCTGAAGCCTTTTGTGGGTCCTTGATAGCTTTTGTTTCAGGTCTTCAGATCAGCTCACACTTAAGCAATGACTTACAGAAATATAAATAAATACACACACATATACATATGCACATATACATATATACACATACAAATACATTTATACACAAATATACATGTATACATATACATACAGTGGCTGTTTATCTTTATTTGAAATTCTGTTGAAGGGAATAAGGATTCTCTCTATCTCTGTCTCCATCCGTGTGTGTGTGTGTGTGTGTGTGTGTGTGTGTGCGTGTGTGTGTATAAAACAATAAAGGGAAGTGGAATGCTGTCGGATTTATCAGTCCTGTCATGCAGTGAGGTGTGTTTCTGAGTGTGTCATATAGTAGGCTCTGTACATGTTGTGGTCAGAGGTTCAGCCCTGGACACTCTCCAGAAGGAGCTGAAGCCTTTGTTGGCATAGGCTCAATTGTACTGGGTAGCTGGGAAGCCTGGTAGGTCAGTTTGCTTTGGCAGGAAAGACAGTCTAGGGAGAGAGACATGCAAGAGTCAAGCTTGTGGAGGGAGCTGTGAGGACAGTTCCCCAGGCTCCAGCTATGGGAAGATTTGACGCCATTTTGAGGGTGTTAGACATTAGCGAGTTGATATCCGGAAGCCTTGGAAGATGGTAGAGCAAGAACAGGGATGATTTGTGTTTCAACTCAGTTTTATAAAGACATGAAGTGAAAGGCAGTGAAGGCTCATGGGAAACAACAGGAAAAAATGATGTGACCTTGTACTTGTTCTATGTGGTACTTACTGCATGATAGATGCTTCTGGCTTTTGTTTGCTGGAAGGAAGTTGGTTGTTTTGTTGTTTTCTGGGGGTTTTTGTTTTGGTTTGGTTTTGGTTTTGGTTGATGAACTGTGCAGAGAACAACAAGGCAGACCTGAAAACCTAATTCTGAGCCAACTTTACTCCACTGCATGGTTGGATTTTTGAGCAGGGAACTTAACCACTCTGTCTTAACTCTGGGACAACAGTAGTATCTTAGCTCAGGGTTAGAGTGAGTGTTAAAAATGTCTCATCTATACACAGATTCCTTAAAGCTGCCCGGTGTGCAGCACATGCTAGCTGCTTTCTGCTTATTTTTCACAACGTCATTGGTTAACTTGTCCAGCTGACCTCTATGAATGTTTGCCCTTAAAACCGTCTGGAGCAACATGCTTTAGACTGCCATAACTATAAACTTTATTGGCAGAATTTTAAAGACTTTCACGCTTCCTTTTCTTAAGTCCTCTTGAACCAAACAAATATTTGCCCCTGATATAAAATGTAAACATCCCATTATAAGGTTTGAGTTTGGGGCATGTTGGATAGTCTTACTCTATAATGTGACATGGTTTGTCATCCAAATAGGCAGATTCTAAAATGACAGGATATAGTGTGAACTTCGTTTGAATACAAATACAGGAACAGCTTCAGATATCTCCCATATGAAATTTTAATTTTCTTACTGCTTCCCTCAAAATGAAAAGACTGGGTCAGGCCCTGAAACGGTAGCAATAATGTACCAATTACTTTACCCACTCGTTCTTGCGACCAAATGACCGATGAGAACAACCTGTGATGAGAAAGGGCTTATTTTGCTCACAGTTGTCTGGGTTCGGTTCATTATGGATAGAGTATAGCAGACCAGCTAACAGCACAGTGGGAAGGGAGCATAGAAAAGCAGACACTGGGACAGGCGGAGATGCGAAAACTCCACACCCAGTGGTACTTCTTCCAACAGGCACCCCCTCTTTGATTTCACCACTTCCCAGCAGCACACTGGGATCCTGTGAAGACATGAATCCATTTATGAGTTCAGAGCACTCACTTAGTCTAACATTGACAACTGTGGACAATCAGATAATCCATCACAAATAACTCTGTTTTGACTATGATATACACAAACTAGTCTATAAACGTATGTAATTCTATTTGCTTACATGCGTAACTGTAGATTTAGCACTCAGGACAAAAATGTAATTTCTGTCTCCTCGTGTAGAGTGAGAATTATATTTCTTCAGTGTCGGGGTTCTTTGGAACAGGAACTGGATGGACACATTGCATTATAAGAATCTGTAGGATTTGAGGAGGAAAACCAGTTATAAGAAATGATAATTTGGGGCTGGAGAGAAGGTTTGGTGGTTAAAAGCATAGGCAGGACCAAGATTCCCTTCCCAGCACCCACAGGGCAGCTCTCGACTGTCAATAACTCCCTGTTCCAGGGGATCTAACACCTTCTCACAGATATGCGTGTAGGCAAAACACTAACACACATAAAATAAAAATGAATAAATTGGTTTTTTAAATGGTAATTTTATGTGAGACAATTTTTTTTTTAACTTTTTCCTTCTGACGAGCTGGGCAAGCAGTCCTTGATCATGGCTACATGCGCCTGTTCTTGCACAATCTAAATGAGTAAAGCTTTCTCTTGTACCAAAGGCTTTTATTCTGCTTAAGAGTGAACTATTGGCTGATGGAAAGGCTCTTTGTATTGAAGCCATCACGATTACCAAATTTCATGTCTCCATCCCACTAAAATTCAGTGTCGTAGAACCATGAAAGCCAATTCATGAAGTTACAGATTACAAACCCTGCATTTCCTCCTCTAGGTCCCTGGGAAGTTAATCTCAATAGCATTGAGTACTCTCAAAAGAACAGTCAATAAATTATTTAAATTATATTCTCCAACTTTTACCCTTGGTTCAGGGCAAACCAATTTTGATTCGTTCATAAATTAGACCAGTGTTGTTCGTTTACTGAAGATACTTTTGCAGTATTGTGACCGTGAGGTTAGAGTCATGAACAACAGAGTCAAGGAGGATTAAGTGGCCTGTGGTCTGGTTCCTGCCCTGCTGTGGACAGCTATATAAACAGCCACAGAATTTAACTGATAGCCTTTTTAGTCCCCGTCTCTGGGGGGCTGTTGTGAGAACTGAATGAATAAGGTTTATAAGAGCAATTTGAAAGATAAAAAGCACTAAAAATGGCTAATTTTCATTACTGAACATCCTAAAGACACTGTAGTAGGACAAACGAAGTGTTGATGACCTTTGGTTGGTGTTCCAGGGGACGAGGGAAACTCTCAGCCGCCACTGCACCACCCTTGGAGATGCTCTTCGGAAGGAAAATGACTTTGCCCTTATAATTGATGGGAAGACCCTTAAATATGCCTTAACCTTCGGAGTCCGGCAATATTTCCTGGATTTAGCTCTGTCCTGCAAAGCTGTCATCTGCTGCAGGTAAGTTCTCCCCAACATTGTGAGATTTCAATAGAAGTGACATCTTAGTGTTATTTCCTAGTGACTTTTATTTTAATTATGTATATGTGTGAAGTTGAGTATGTGCACATGTGTGCAGGTACCCAAGGAGTCCATAGATGCTGGATCCCCCTGAAGCTGGAATTACAGGCAACTGGGTACTGAGAACAGAGAGCTTGGGTCTCCAGAGGAGTGGAACAATGCCTCTTGACTGCTGAGCTCTCTCTCCAGCCATATCTTAAATCCTTAATTTTTAAACTTTCCACACAGCTTTTTTTTTTTTAATAAATAAATTACAAATGTTGGGTCATTTCATTCATTCATTCAAGTCCCAAGGTTCACAAGCTGAGTTAGACTTGTTAGCAGAGTTTTGAAAGTGAGTTCTAACTGTCATTACTGAATACTATTCAGAATTTGAGAACACCAGCCCTTTGCTGCTTATCTGTATTTAAAATCAGTCAGTGGCAACCAGATAGATGGCACATGTCAAGAATCCCAGCTACTTCAGAGGCTAATGCCGAAAGATACCAAGCTTAGGGTCTACTTGGGTAATTTAGGGAGGCTCTATACCAAAAATTTAAATAAATACACTTTCAAATGGGCTACAAATGTAGTCTGGTGGGTTTTGACTGCAACACTCTGGGTTAAACACCAGTACTTTAAATAAATAAATAAATAAATAAATAAATAAATAAATAGTTACTAGAATCAAGGCTGTAGCTCAGTATTTATCTGCATTTCCGTCTTGGTTCATTTATGGAAAGAACCCTGTTGTCTCTCTTTAGATCCCTGATCCTCCTGCTAGAATTTATTCTGTAGGGAGAGCATGATGGGAGGTACAGAACGAGTCATTTTCCAAATAGCTGGATTGTTTCCGATGGCTGTTTATTTACTCTAAGAGTCTTGCCTATTAGTTTATCATAGTGCTCATGTCCTAGATTAAAAACTGTTTTTGAGTTATGATAGCTCGAGCCTATCTGGCTGTCTGGGGGGACAAAGATCAGGGGATCTTCCCCATCTTTTTGTCTAACTTGTTAAAACTCTGTCCTCCTAAACTTTCAAGTACTTGATAGCCTTACCCAGGCTCCTGTCTTGAGGTGTCACAGCTAAGGATTTCCCCTGTCATCCCCGTACTGAGTCATCCCAGCTGGTCACAGTGAATCCGGTCCTGATTCCACTCTTCTTTCCCTCCTCGGGAGACAAACACGGGTGTGGCTTCTTCATGATTTCTCAGTCCATGCTCCTTCCGTTCTCCTCAACATCCTTCTGTTTGCTCTGGTTTTGAAAAGCTCTATTTCCAAATAAAAGAAAGTTATTCCCTTTAGACCATTTTTTTTTCATCTCAGTCTATCCACTTAAAATCTATTTCTTGAATTTCAATTGAAATTTACTTCCTGGAGTGTGTTTAAACAACACATCCTGTAAGGATCACATATATGCATCATTTTGACCTACACGATTTTACTATTCTCAGAGAATTAAGACTTACCTTTCATTTTCATGTATCTCATTATAGATATAATTATAGAATCTAGCCTTCTCTGAGGTCTCTATGAATAATATGACCGAAGATTTTGAGCGATCCGTTATGCAGATGCTTAGTGTTCATAACTGTCATGTTCCTTTTTTATCACAATGATGGAAATTATTTTCTACTCTTGGTTTTGCTTTGGCATCCTCATGCCTTTTACAATCTGGGGCTACAGTAACGTTTCTTGGCTTCTTGCTAATGTCTTGACAGGGGCTCACTAATGCGCAGCCCTCACGCTCTTCCATCAGGGTAATGCTACATTTAGCCGTCTCGTCTCTTTTACTAATGGGTTCATGGGGATCAACAGGAGAGGGCTCAAAAGCCCATGAGCGTTATGGCTGTTGGCTCCTACTCAGAAACAGGCTGCAGACCAAAAACCAGTGCCGTTTAGATAAAGTAGCCAGTTGGCTCTAGTTAGCATCCGTGATGTGCCTACTGTGTGCTGGGCATAAGTATTGCACTTACCAAGACAAGCATGACTCACCACCTGCTCTCCTTGCTGCCTCTGTCTGCTCTACTCGAAAGCAGAATCACAGTTGGTTTGAAAGATGCAGGGAGGCCGGTTTTCCTGATACAGCTATTGCGGGCAGAGCTTAACACAGTGCCTCCCTCAGTTCTTCAGAAAGCTCAGCCACAGGATTAAACACTAGCAGAGGAACACTAGACAGCAGAGTCAAGGCAGAAGTATGTTCTGTGCTTGGGAAGTTCTTTCTGGAGATCCTTGTCCTGGAGGATTACAAGTCACATGGACTTCAGAGCTCTTCCAGGCCAGGGACTCTGGGAGGGATTCGCCCTGTTGTGAACACGGAGCTGGGTGCTGACACTGAGCTTATAAAGCTGTGTGGGCTACTCCCTCCTTCCTCAGCTGCCTCAGCTGTATGGATGTTTGAGGGCCTTGGAGGTCCCTGGCCAGACAGTTCTATTCAGGGTTTTTTGTTGTTATTGTTTTAATAAAAAGTCTTCCTTGAGTTCTTTTTAATTCTAATTACCTTCATACTCTTTTTCCCTAAAGGAAAGCTTCTGGCCTGGCTGTGAGGCTGCTCTAAACCCATAATTACGTCAGTGCCACAGCCAGATTAATGTATGTGCACCTTCTTGGCCTAGTGCCTCTTGGAATTTGAATCACTGGCACTGATTATGTTTTCTCTCGTTCCTGTACTGACCTCTGAATGTAATGATGGTGTCCCTATCCCATATTGGGGATGGGGAGTGAGCATGTGGATGGTCCTTGGAGGATGGACCAGAGTGATTCCTCATTTCTCACACGATAATGATCTCCCAGCCTCAGGGAACTCTCTATTTTATTCCTTTAAAAAAGTGACGCTCAGATAAATATTGAATATTATTTCAAAATACTGTGCAGCGCTGTTTCCCAAGTTCCCTCACGATCATGCTAAGTCTTTGAGGTTGAGACCCCTTCCCAATCCACTATATGTCAGTCCACAGCCATGAAGAAAACTCAGTATCGGACTCTCCACTACAGCCCCCTGAAGCACCAGATAATGGAATCGATAATGAGTTTCATCTGCTCCATCCTCAGGATTCCATCAGTTCTCTTCCCTGACACTGGCACCCAGGGCAGAAAGAGGTTTTAGTGTTTGCCTAATTGCCATGGTTACAAAGATGCACTTTTGCTCCCCAGAGCCTCTTGCTGAATTGAAGGAAGCCGCTGTTCTCTGTCAATACTCATTACATCTCCCACTCAGCACTGTCTTCTGAGGGGACCATTCAGAGACAGAACTAATCCCCCCAACCTAAAATTACTCAGGGCATTTGAGTCCTGGTTTTGGTTTACAGAGTATAGGCTACATGTTATATGTCAAGAAGCTATACATATACATATATATATGGATCTAAAGTCAAAACAGTAGAACATAGTCCTGTTTCTTATCAGCCTACAAAGCACTGTGTTCACAGAAGCTGTGCAGCTTTCCCGTTTACTGTTTGACAGTTTATCTCCATCTCTCAGGTCACCTGATAAGAAGCAGCATGCACCCATGTCTAAGAGTGTCTTGCTTTTGACATATCAACATAAACATCTCTTCTGTTACTTGCCCACTTCCATTCACTTGCCCAAGTCCACTGCTTCTTGCTTGGGATGGCCACAGATATATTTGTTGTTTGTTGGTAGCTTAACTGGCTAGTCTAAGAGACAGGGTCTCATGTATTCCAGGCTAGCTGGGAACTCACTATGTACCCAAGGCTAGCCTTGAATTTCTAGTCCTCTTTCCTCCTCCTCCCAAGTACTAGAGTTAGAGACATGTTCCTGCACACCCTCTTGAAATGCTTTTAAAGAACAAGAGAAAGTTCTGATTTGCCTCCCCCAGAGGAAACACACATGCTCAGTGCACACGTGGGGTTGTACTTTTGCTCCCCAGAGCCATTGTCAGGGTTTTCACAGATGACCTGCAGCTCCCTAAGGAAAACAACCTTTGCTCTCGGACTTAAGGAGATTCATGCAAACAGCTAAAATCAAGAGCTCTCCTGAGGTTCTAGATCAATAATTTCTGGCTTCAGTTGCCAATGCTTTTGCGCTAGGCCTTCTTGTTTGTATATTAGCATAATGCTGCTTTGACTGGGGGTTCAGGAAATTTCTGTTCTAACTGCCTCTCTGTCACCTTAGGCACTGAATTGAACTGTTCTCCCTACAAATTGGTGAGACCAGAAAGTAGCAGTGTAGACTCCTCTAGAGTGTTGATGCCTCTAAGCAGGTGGGAGACAGCTACTAAGGTATAAAAGGGAAGGGAGCATCTTCTAGGGTGCTCGTCCCAGCCTGGGAGCACCTGCTCAGATCCGCCTGTCACCCTTGCAGGTTTTTGAACTCTGCTATATGAACTATATGAACTCTGCTTCTGTTGGCTGCTCTGAGCGAGGCATCCCCTCAGATCCTGGTCTAGGGATGGACATGCAGCTATTCTTCCTCTGACCCATTCCTCCAGAAGAGCAGGAAGGCCACAGTGAAGTCTCACTGTTAAATAGTGTGTTTCTGAAGACCTCGTCAGTTCATGCAACCCAGCTTGCAAAGAATCTTACGTTTTGGGTTTTTTTTTTTTAATTTTTTTCCCTGTAGTTGTCAGTTTAGTTTAAACATACTTTGAAACTTACGTTCTGTGACAGTTGGTTGAAAATTGGCTTAGAGCCTCCAGCTTTTAGACTGTCTAGTAATCACCATCCTGCTACATAATTTATCTACTCATGTCTCCTGAAAAGCAGAGGTTAAACTGAAGCAAGCATTTTTCTTCAGTTGCAACATCTTAATCAAAGCTTTAACCCCCTTTTAGGCCATTTTCTCCATAGTAGATTTTTAAAAAGAAAAAAAAAAGGAAATAAAAAGAAAAAAAAACTTGATTTCAGTGAGTGTTGTCACTTAGAGTGACGTTCCCAGGCAAAACCTGCCTGATGGTGTCTTCCAAGAAGAGGCTTAAAGGGACACTGTATATTTTCTGTTGCA